GGGGGGGGGGGGGTGCTACGCGAATATAAAATGACCCGGCCAAAAGTTGTTGGGCCAAGAGAGACCCGAGCTCTACCGAGGGTGGCGATTTGAAATTCTGCGGTAAAAAGAAATTTCTTAGTGAGTGCACACGAAAGAGACAAGGGGCAGCTGGACCCTTCTCGCGTGAAAAATCAAACGCAAGCACAGCGGGGGGTAGGTGTATAAATACATAGAAAGGAGGTTCCTTAGTCCTACCTTCCCCTTGAGTGACCCCGACTGATACGCCAAATAAACGTCGAAACGGGGTAGTAGACTGGCTCCAAGATAGATGAGGCAAGAGCACACGACCAGGAATTGTTCCTTAAGAGAGAGAAGGCGCCTCGTGAGGGAGTGTGTGGTATACGTGTCTCTTAAAAGTGAACGAAAATCACAACGCTACGTTTGTCGCGTCCGGTTTTGAAGCCTCCTCCCTCCCCCTGCCCCCCCTCCCCCCCCCCGTGCGGACGGGATATTGAAGAAGGTGGAGGCGTACCACGGGCAGGTGACCGAGGGCAAGCTGTACGAGGGGGAGGACGATGCGGACGACGGAGAAAACTGGTTCACTGGGCCCCTCAAGTTCAAGCGACACATCGACGACGACCTGAGGAAGGGCAGCGACGGCCGCAGAGCCGACGACTACGCTGTTATCGATCCCCTCAAGCAGCAGCAGCCGAAGGGGGGACGTGGAAATGACGCCCACGGGGGCAGGGGTGGGGGGGAGTCTAGACGAGACGGCGGTGCAAGTAGGCGTGATGAGGCGGGGGCAAGGAATGGGATGGACCGAAAACGGGAGGATAAGGGTGGTCGGCATAAGAGTAGCCGTGACTCACAGCTCAGCGACAGGCGGAGGTGACCAAATCCCCGTTTGAGTGGGGCAAACGGCTTTTTAGTAGCGTCAGCAGACAAGACGGCTAAATGCATAGAGGTGTCGGGTGGATACTTTTGGGATGTGTTTGATGTGACCACCTAAAAAATAACGAAGCCAGCTATGCAGCGGGGGTTCACCCACAGGGTGCGATCGTGCACGAGATGCGAAAAAATATCCCATTTCCCCTCAGGGCGCAGAAGAGAGCGGGGATTGTATCTCTCTTCTGCTGTGGGTGGCCTCAACCCAGAAGGGGCACGAAGCGTACACGAACAACGGTCCGCGTTTTAACGGTTAGCAAACCATTTTGTCCATGGTAACAAGCCAAACGAGAGACCAGAGTCGGCAGTGCTCCTTTGAGAGCATTCACACGATTTGTGCATAGCAATATCATTGGTTACCGTTATACAACAGCAAAACACACGCACACCCTCTGCTGCCCCCAAAAGCTAGAAATTGCTACCTAGAATCGCTTTATCTTTACCATCATCATCGTCTACTTGGCTTTTTTGCAGAGGCCGTAGTTCTCTGAACTTGCCGCCGTTTCGTCGGTGGCGGCTTCGCCTCCTCTTCGCTTTCCTCGCTCTCGTCGTCGTCACTACTACTCCCACCCTCGCTCCCAGCCCTTGCATCTACTTCGTCATCCACGCTCTCTTCCTCGCTACTCTCTTCTTCCTCGCCACTCTCCCCCGCCCCGTCTTCCTCTCCACCGGTCGGTTTTCCCCCGTTCGCCACGACCGAAACTCTCGTTGTTGCCGTTCGCCGCCGCGAATCTTCCCTCTCCTCCTCCTCCTCGTCATCATCATCAGAGCTGTCCGCTTCGTCCATCTCGTACTCCTCTCCGGAACCCCACCCCTCGCTCCCCGACCAATCCTCGCCGGCGCCGTCCTTGGCGCCGTTTTTCTTCTTTTCGCCATCCTCGCCGTCTGCAGCGACATGAACCTCCCCTTCCTCCCCATCGAAGAGCACGGCGTTAAGCCTCTGCTTGAGGTAGACCTGGAACTTCTGCTCCCGCGAGTGGTAGCCGTAGACCCTGGCCATGCGGTCCAGGCCGACGCAGGCGAGCACCGGCAGGGTCGGGTGGAACGCAAGGCCTCGCACCGACCCCGCCGGCCCCTCGAACCGCCGACCCCACTTCATCTTCCGGAGGTCCAGCACGCGAACGAGCCCGGCGGTGTCCGCCACGACCACCTCCCTCCCGTCCGGGGCGACGGCCATGGTCGTGACGCCGTGCTCGTCGGCGTCGACGGAGTGCGTTGGTCGCTTTTGCGCGCGGGCGTCGTAGAGGCGTACCTGTCGGTGCGCCGTTCCCGCGACCATTTGCTGCAACCCGCCGCCGCCGCCTCCGCCTCCGCCGGTTGCCGCCGCCAGCGGACAGAGTGAGGTTATCCACACCGGCTGCCGCATGTCCAGGAAATCGTGGGGCACGTTCTTCGCCTTCCAGGTGCACTTGCCGGTGCTCAAGTCCCACGTTTTGAGGTCGTTCTCCCTACCTCCGGCGGCAAGCGCAAGCCCCGACCCGCCGTCCCCGTCGGCGACGGCGGCGCTGACTGGTCCGCGGATGGACAACGTCGTCCGTCCCGCCTCGTCCTTCGACCTGCTGTCGGGAGCAGCGCGGAATACTTGCACCTCTCCCTCTCCGTTGCAGGTCAGGACGCGGGAAGACTCGCTGCTGCTGGACGAGGCCGGCGGGAGGCAGGCCAGGGCCACTGGAGCAGCGGCGCACTCCACAGCAGTCCCACAAGCGCTGAGCGCGCAGCCGCCGGCTTTCCCGTCCCGCTCCGACTGCGACACGTCCCAGGTTTCGACGGCACCTGCGACACGGGCGACGTGGATCCTTGCGAAGAAGTCGCCGGAAGCCCGGTGGCCGCTCGCGGCGGCTGCCGCGTGGTCGAAGCAAACCGCGCGGACAGCGTTGGCTCGTGCTTGCTCTCCTGGGCTGACCGCCAAGCACTCGCCGCTCTCCAACCGCACCACCTTCACAAGGCCCGTCTCGTCCGCTGTGATGATTCGCATGGTCGGCGAAGAGCAAACGTCGACAGCGTTACACCTATGATATGAGTGGTGACAGAGGGCTCGGCTGGAACACCACACAGCAGCAGTAGTGCCTGCCTTGCACTCACGCTAGAGCCTCTAGTTGACTCGGTGCGGCGGAATTGGGCCGCATATTCTCTGGGGGCACCGTCCATGTATCGAAAAACGTCACCCCCCTTTCTCCCGCAGGCCCGCAGGCGGCGCGCCCACAGGCCAAGCGCGGGCAAATCCACTCTCAACCCTCAACCACAGCACCGATCTTTGCCTGATCTGCTATCCCATCGCTATTCCCCCACCTGCTGAACACACCACAAGACAATCAGTCCACGATAGCCACCACAGCTGTACGAAAGAAGGAGACACTTATGGAGACCCGTCGAATGCGCGCGAAGGAAAAGCAGCACACCAAATCCGGACGGGCCGGGCTTCGCTCCTCCCCCCGCCGCGCAAGAGGAGACGCTAGAAACAACAAGCCGAGGGGCTGCGATGCGGATCTCCCACACCACGTCGTGCTGGAAATCGTGTCCTTCCTGGACACCCGGTCCATCGTAGGTGGCCGGTGCTTGTCTCGCGCGTTTAGGAACGACGCACCGGCGCTGGTCAAGACGCTGGACTTCCACATGGGGCAGCAGTCTCCATCCGCCGAAACGATCAAGCTGTTCCCTGAGGTCAGGCAGGTCAACCTCGACGGCAACCGAGACCTGGTTCACGCGGTGGTCGCAGGGCTCCGCGGGTGGGGGTCCTCACTGCGCCTCGGCGTTTCCCTTCACGACTCCGTCCCACAGAAGGAGGAGCCGCTGAGCAACACGGCCACCGCCGACCTGTGTGCGTTGCCGCTGACCGAGCTCGACATGAAGGAGGTCGTTGTCGAGTTCCCGCCGTCGCTTCCGATGAACGCCTGGCGAACGCTGCAGAGGCTCGTGATCCGCGACGCCTTCCTCGGGGACGAGTCCCTGGAGAGCCTGTCCAAGTCCATCCCTGAGGGTCCCCTACCGCTGCGCCATCTTGACCTCTCCAGAAACCTCTTCGGGGGCTACGACGCCGTGTTGCCCTTCGCAGGCGCGCTCCGGTCCTTCCCCGACCTGGAGTGGCTCGAGCTCACGGCGTGCCGCATCTGTCGCGGCTCGGGTGACTGCATCGTCCGCACGCTGCTCGAGGGCGCCTGCCCGAAGCTCAGGACCCTGGACCTCTCCCTCAACTTCTTCACGAACGGCCTCCTCGCGTCCCTGTGCGAAGGGCTGGGGGCGCCGGGGCACGGGCTGCTCAACCTGCGGAAGCTGGGCTTCGGCTCACGGGTCACCGGCGACGAGATGATAACTTGCTTCGAGAAGGTCGGGAAGGCCCTCGCCGCCGGCGGCCTGCCCAAGCTGGACTTCCTCCACCTTCAGGGCGACATAGGGCCGCGGCAGGTCTCCCCGGTGCTGAGCCTGTTGAGGGGCGGGGCGTGCCCGATGCTGTCGATGGTGAAGCTGGAGCGTTCTCTCCGCTCCACGCTTGGCGAGGACGAGTGCGGCGCCGAGGACGCCGCACAGAGCATGTTCGACCTGGTGATTTCGGACCACATCCCGCACCTCCGGGAGGTGCACGCGCTGGGCATGGCCCTGAACGAGGGGATGGAAAAAGCAAATGAGGCGGGGCGTGACTCGGCATTCTACAGGGCCAGGAACCATTCAACCTGGCACCATCTCGCCGTCGCGGGCAAGGCTAGAGGTGTCCAGGTGTTTGTGTAATGACCTTCTCTGTAGCTTAGAATAGATGCGGTAATCGAGTGACGTCTTTCGTAAGCGTAGATTCGGTGGGTGATAAGTGCGGTAGTTGATTTGCTCGATGATACTCATATATGCGCGTTGGGTATTTCGTGTCTGCTGTCTCCTGCTGTCAACCCCCACAACAATCTCGGTCTGTTAAGCTCAGAATTCAAACACGGATCGAGTATGTTTTCATATTTTTCATCGCAGAACTTTGCAACTGTGAACAAGTAACGAGCTATCTCCTTTAGTTTTGGGCACGGTTTTTTTTTTTTTTCGCCAGCTTTCGGAGCTTCAACTCGTGGGCTGGGAGCGCCGTGAGATAGCGCTCAGCCCTTGTTTTTTCTGTTTGCGTCTTGCGTGGGCCGTGGGCCGCAGCAGTCACGGCTTCCACGGCGTGTTCGTGTGGCGGGGTTTAGACCTTTCTTTCTTTGCCGATACATCGTCTCCCGCAGCTAGCTGCAGATCGGCTTTCCGTAGGCACAGTTTGATCGCGTTAGAATGTTTCACGGCGTGTGTTCTCGCCGCTCGTGGTAAACGCCCGGTGCTGTCTGTGTGTCTTGTCCTTTTCAGAAGGGCCAGCGTAGCATGCCATCGTTTTGTACATGTGGTGTACGCGCCTTACTTGCAGGAGCAACGTTGTGTCTTGCGGGACAGGTTCTCTGTGTTGGCAAGGACCACTGCACCGCTGTATATATATATGTATGTATCTGTTTCATGTTGTTTGGTTTGTTGAACTCTGTGGCGTGTCGTTTGCCCCTGTACAGTAACCTGTGGAACGATCATAGTCGGAGTGCAGCAAACTGCCGAGCGACGGTCTGGGCGCTTGAAATTAGCTGGAGTGCCGGCATAGATGTCAGCGGTATCTGCTGTTGCCGTCCTTGACGTGCGCCCAGAACGTGTTGTGGAGATGCTGCATGCCGCTTGCCGGGGCCTTTTAAACTGCCCTTTCGTGTTACATCCAAGAAGGGACGCCTATTGTAGGACATAATGAAGCTCGTCTGAAGTAGGTGGGGAAGCAATAACCAGATGTCTCGAGTGCTTTGTAGCGACAATTAAATGCCGTCCGATTTTTTTATTGCGTGTTCGCTGCTCGTTGGCGACCGGAACAAACCGAGAAAGCAGCTGTGTTTTTGAGGGAGAGGGGGTGTTCTCGGCTCTGTTAAGCTAGCAATGCTCATTCGGAGTGGTTGGTGGAACTGGTTTGTGGATATATCCTACGGGAGACCGGGACGATTTTCTTTTGTGAAGATAAAACAGCATAGGAGTGTTGAGCGGACTAGTTGAGCCTCGTGTTATTTTTGAACAAGAGAGCGCACATGGTGACCGATTCCCAACTGGTGTGAGGGACTGTGGGTCGGTGGCCTAGTGAGTGTTAGAGTTTTGCGGCATCCGCATCCTATGCATCGGAGCGGACGAACGAACGCAGATGACTCGCGTGTTTGGTGGCTAGCGACGAGAGAATCATGGCTCTGCTGTGTGGTGCGCAGTTTAGGATCAAGAAGATTCATCTGCTTCGAGCAAGCAAACGATTTCTCGGACGGAATCATTCAAACGTTGCAGTTGGCGTACACACCGCTGTATTTGCGCAAACGTTTGGGGATTATTTTAGCTTCATCGCTTGCGGCGAAATCGAACACGGCGAATGCCGCCTTCAATCCGTTTGCATTAATATATATTTCTTCATCGATGGAACCTCATGATATGCTGGTGGCGTCGGTGCGTTCCACCAGCGCGGTTGTACGCATATTTAGTCCGCTGGGTTTTGGGCACTCTGATACCCCCCCTCAAAAGCATTCATCATCTCCTACCGGCAGTTTGCCCTTACCTCTACCAACTGGTATATTGCTCGGAGAATGCTGGCCATTCCTCGAGCTTGCGCGCAAACGGCGCTCGCTTGATAAAAAGTTTTTTCACATTCTTGCGCCACACGGCCCTCCTCACGGAGAAGAAACGACGCGCTTAGTACTACAGTGATTCAGTCTTCCTCTTCGATCTTATCACGCGTACGCGCGGAAACGAAAGTTGATCTTGTTAGATCGGTGACAACGATGGCAATCTGTACCACGTCTCTCCCTCTCAACACAAATACATCCGGTTTTTCCTCCTCCTCCTGAAACAAAAAAAAAAACAGACGTTCTTCTAGAGGTGGCCCACAAGTCGGCACTAACAAAAGCCGTTTGCAAAGGCAAAAAAATTACGAAGATGGGCAACATGCTCCAGGGCGTCACGCTTGACCGCAGCCGAAGCATCGTTACAACAACCGGAAACGCTTCGGCGGGTCAAAGAAATTGCCGAAACTTCCGGAAAAATTCAGGGCCAGGGCCACTGCTACATTAATTGGGCGCAGCGGCCGTATGGAATGTTCTTCGCCCCGAACAGATGCTCCACAAAGAAATCGCTTCACTGTTAGACTTGACTACACGTACAAGGTGCGCGTGGGTGGGGGGCACATACTTGGGCAAAATCAAGGGTACCCCCCTGAGTGGGCTCACAGCTCCTGAGAACACAGAGTGAGAGTAGCTGTGCCATCAAGGGGTGTGATGCAAGAATAAACAAGAGAATGGTGCGGTACCTTGTGAATCCCGCCGCGGCCGCCCCAAACGCTTGAGTAGTGGAGAGGATGACCGCTCTTCTTATCGGGGAGGGGGCAGCTGACGTAGCATCTCAACACCAATCGCCGGCTACTTTACGAACAACTGGCTGCCACCCAACGGCTTTGACACTTGAAAGCTCGGAAAAGCTGAGTGCTATTATACCCTTGACGTTTTCCAAGATAGAAAAGCCCGCACAGCGGGCGAGTGCAGACTCGACGAGCCCAGCGAACCGGGTTTGCTGGGCCCTTCGAGTCTGCACCCGTCAGCTGTGCGGGCTGCTCGATCTTGGAAAACGTCACGAGTGCGGCCACACTGCACCAAAAAGAAAAATACTACATGCAGACGTGGCTCCGACATAAGAGGGACGGTGGTGAGACCAAGGCCCTCGGCCCGCTTATATCTTACTTCTGTATCGGAGCCCCCTCTTATACCGGAAAAAGAGGGTACAGTGCCACATAATACTCTAGCGGGTCGAGTCCGTGACAACCGAATTCGACCCTCTCATATCGGAACCCCCACTTATACGGTACCCTCATAGATCGGAGCCACGACTGTTATCTTTATTCGATATTTCGCTCTTTTTTTACTGTGCCTTATTTTTCCCTCGCCGTTACTTATCTGTACCAGGTAGTCCTTGAAATCAACTCTATATTTGCCTCCAACGTAGCACCAAGTCGATCTCTGAGCTGTACGCCATTCGGGGTGCAACGCTCGACTACCCTTGGCGGAAAGCATCTGCACTAGCCGTGCGAGGCCACCTTGTGATTAAACAGCAGGATCGATCATCAAAGAGGCCCACCTTAGCCATTCCCCTTGTCCAGCTTCTCCCGGATCATTTTCTACTCGATCGTGACCTCCTTCAGAACATCGTCCAGTGCCAACGTTTCCTCGTGTCCCAGCGCGTGCTTCGTCATGGCAAACTCATCCGAAAGGTCGTCCAACAAATGTGGAGGACAAAAGTTTCGGCAGTGTGGTAGCACCTCTTGTTCAAGGAATGTAGGTTTTCGACCTTCCCGTCGCTGAAAAACCACGACATGCACTGAACAAGATGCTAGACGCTGCTGACTCCCTATCGAAGAAAGGACTACAAGCCAACGAAACTCTTGTCCTCAAACTGTTCTTGGACGTTAATCAATCACGCTGGGTTGCAATACTGCCCTCCCACCATCACCGAGCAACAGGTTTACCCAAGTGTAGGAACCACCCCTCCCCCTACCCACCCACTCGCCCTCTCCACATTCCGATGCTCTCCTTGTTTTTTAGAAAGTAAACATAACCTCACAGAAAGACTACCCGTTCGAGATGTAACCTCCGCTACATGCTGCTCCAAGACCCCCCCCCCCCCCCCNNNNAGACCCCCCCCCCCCGCAATTCTATTCAAGCCGACTACCGTACGCAGGTGACGTAAGATACCACGTCCCCCGGATCGAAATTCAAAGCTCGACAACTCCGCGGTGACGAGGATGCAAAAATCAAACCACGTGTTTTCGGGCTCCAGACGAGACTGCTGCTACCATTTCCGGAGCCGCCACTCTTCCTGCCGTCGAGCAATCGAGCCTAACAATTGCTCCAGGGGGTGTGCTTTCCTACGCAACCGACGGTTTCATATCTTCATCTCTCCCCGGTAGCCCTCTCGCTTCGCCGCCCCCCCCCCCCCCCCCCCCCCCCCCCCCCCCCCCCCCCCCCCCCCCCCCCCCCCCCCCCCNCGGCTTTGTAGGGATGCGAGGTCAATGGTCTAACGACTACGGCATGCACGACAACGAGTACACACACAAACACGATTCTTGCTCTCCCGCCGAATCCTCATCTCCCCCGGCCCTGCTGAGCCTGCTTAAGCACCCTCTCCTCGCGAATCAACGCGGCCCTCTTCATCTGCAGCTTCTTCTTCAACGCGTAGGCCTTGGCCTGACTGAGGCCCGGTGCCTCCGTCTCCTCCCTGAGCGCCTCAACCTCGGCCGTCAACAAAGCAATCCTCTTCGCCGCCTCTCCCCCGCCCCCCGCCCCGCCGCCTACAGAACCATGAGCACTACTACCCGTCCCTTCGGCAGCGGCGGCGGCGGGGGCATCATTGAAAGGTTTTGGAGCAGGTGGAGGCGTCATCGGCGTGCGGGGCCGGTAGTCGGGGGGCAGGCGGTCTCGGAGGTAGGCAAGCGTGGCGACGGTCCCGCGCTGGAGGAGGGACGGGCTTATCTGCCGCTGAGGGTTCCCGGCGAGTAGAAGGGATTCCAGACCTAGGGGCGCCGTGGGGTGAAGGAGGGTGGCGGGGGTGGGGCGACAAGGATGGTGTGTGGGGTCCCGGGGGATACCGGGCCGGTGGCGTTTCGTGGTGTCAATTTTTCAGGGGCAAAACGCGGCCACCCTCGCCGGACATGAATGACACACAGGCGGCAGCTGGTATCCTTCTAGAAAGCAAACGCTTCCTAGAAAGAACCTCTTGTTTCTTATCCTGCCACCCGGTGTGCTGTCATTGGTCAGCCTGTTGACGTGTGGTCGGTGTTACAGATAGAGAGACAAACCTAAATCACACATGAAATAACACGGTCGTCCTCCCACATACCAACCTGAACACAGAAAAATAACACGATCGCCCTCCCTTGTCACATCCAAACCTCCCCCACATTCCGCTCACCCGTACACATCCAAACCTCCCCCACATTCCGCTCACCCGTACACAGGCCGAGTTCCAGCGGCACCGGAGAGATGTCGTTGTTCTCGAGGTTAAGGCGGCGCAACCAGGTCATGAGGACAACGTCTCCCAGAGAGCGAAGGCGGTTGTTTGACAGGTCAAGGTTCTCGAGACTCCCTAGGGCCGCCCAGGGCAGGCCAGACACGTCCGACAAGGGGTTGTAGGCCAGGACTAGCGTCTGCGCAAGGGAGGGAGGGAGAGAGTGTCGTATTGTGGCGCGATGGGAAAATAGATAGACATGTACTCGATAGGCGATGCTTTTTATTGCGATTTAGGTGTATGCACTAACTTTTCTTCCAATCTACACACATTTTCAGTAAATGATAACCCAAATCGACAACAAAACACGAAGCAAAGACCTATCGGGTACAGGTCAAAGAATAAAAGCGGGGGGGGGGG